ACACACACACACACACACACACACACACACACACACACACACACACATATCTATGCCAGTGGGGTATGATGCAACATCTCTGGATTTAATTTCTCTGTGAATTTTACAAAGAAAAGTTAAAATATTCAATTCAACATGAATAAATAAAATATATTAAATATAAAACACTGAGCAAGCTTAACTTTCTACTTATTATAATTATAATAATTATAAGAAGGAAGGGAGGGCCCATAGGTTAAAATATGTTTTTTTTTTTTTTTCTTGCAGTAAATGAATGAAACACACAAATCTAATTTAAATAAAAGAATTAAAATGTGACAACAAACAGGCTGGAGCTGCTGGAGGGACTCGGTTCGTATTTAGTGACTAAAACATAAAATTGATCTGAAATTATTAATGTTTAATCATAAAGCTGTGGTAGATGAGGAGAAAGGCAGAGGGTTAGGCAGCACGTACCATGGTGTGAGGAGGTGGCGCTCACAACTGATCCATTCTTTCAAAGTTCCGCTTCCAAAAAAAAAACACAGCCTGTGGGAGACGGAGGAGACTTGTTGTTCGCGGCCTCCTGCAGGAGCACAGCTCTGACCCGCGGCCTGCACCACATTCACCGGAACTTTCCTCTCGGTCCGAGCTGCTCCTCCTCCGGACCGTCCGGGTCCATGAAGCGCCGGCGCGCGGCTCGGATCCGACCCGGGACCGGAGCGTCCCGATCAGCGCCCAGGACCTGAACACGCCGGGTCCTCCTCCTTCACCTCCTTCACCTGCTCCTCAGAGTCCGGAGGTTTGTCACCAACTCCAGGCGGACCAGGTCCGTCCGGGAAGCTCGGCGGATCCGCGCGCGCGCGTGTATGTGTGTACGTGTGTGTGAGCGCGCGCTACAACCTGCAGCGAACACCGACGTCCCTCCTGAGTGACACGGAGCAGCTGAGAGCGAGTAAACAAGTGCGTGGACGTGAAAACACGCGGCGGGGCTGTGCGTGCGCGCGCTCCGGGGCGGGGAGGAGGACGCGCCGTGTCCCGCGGCCGGAGCCGAGCTGAGGGGGCTCAGAGGGGCTCAGAGGGGGCTGCTGGTGAATTATTAAAACCCCGATGAGCGAGGAAGCAGCGCGGCAGCTGCGGGTTTAACACGAATTAAACACAGGAGGCTCAGAGGCGGCGTAAGAGGGGGATTAGAGGAGCCCGCGAGCGGGGGGCGGGGGGGACAGTCTGATCAATAATTCTGCTTTAGGTCGTTCAGAGGGCAACCGTAGACAAATAATAAGTCTTTAAAAACTCCTGCAGCCGTAATCAGAATTATTGTTTTAATAAAACTTTTGTTTGGTTTCAGAAATGAAAGTTTTACTTGGACAGAAAGACTTGATGTCAAACCTGTGGTTACACAAACAACTCCATCTCTGCCTGCACACGGTGTGCCTCTAGACACTGAACATTATGTGTACTAAATGTATACACATGTGTGTATGTATATAACTTTATTGATCCCACAGGAATATATATATATATATATATATATATATATATATATATATATATAT